TCGTCGAGGACAAAGATTCGAAACTTCGAGCAATAGCGGGCATGTTGCAGCCGAAACAATTCGTCGCCAATTACTGGCCGATCCAAATGATTCAACCATATATTCAATGTGTCATTGTATAAATATATATAAATAAATACGGAAAGTTTAAATTAGTGCTCATTATCGTGAAATTAAAAAAATGAACAGAAAAGTGTCGTCATTGAGAATGCCAATTTCGGTGCAACAAATATTTGCATATGCCGTAACGTTAAAAAGAAATATTAAATTTAACTGATACAAATTAACTTTTCAGCTAATGTTTTGTTAGGTAAAACTCGATTCTGTTTCTGCAAGAGAATGTTAAAACTTGTCAAGGGCGTTAACAGTTTTTGGGTAGTGTAAAGTTTGGGTGCAAAATATCACAGATGCTGCGATAACTTGGTCTCATGACAACCGTGTGTGACCATTAAGCAATAATTTAAAAAAATCCAGAATGCCGTAGTCGGAGGGGAGTTAATTCAAGGAATTTCTCGTGTTTTCGATGATCACTGAACATTTCTGCTGTTTCTGATCATGAGTTTAGACGCGAAAGTAAACAGCTTAATAAACAATCTGAACTAGAGCTTCCAAACAGTACAAATAATCTTCTGAACACCTGCAAAGTTCTGTTAGTTCCGTTCACTACGTCCTCATATGCAATAGCTGCACAATAGTAGTTTTAGTCTGTAGTACTAGACACATCCGCCCCCCCAATGCCGGTCATGTCGCATCTGATTGCGGACTTTCCTAGAGAGCGCTAAAAATCAGCTTCGGAAAATGTCAACTAAAACTGTTGTCTGCAAACAAAATTATAATCTCCACATTTCTTACAATGATGCACTCATTGCGCTGGCAGCATCTAACCCCAACTAGGTACAGCACAGAACAGGGGAGAGGACAGAGCGGCCTAGGCGGAGGCCAGCGCCTTCGTTGGAATGTCCCGACATAACGCCATTTATTCTGACTCAGCACTTCCTGTTGACATTCACTGACTGAATGATTAGTAGAAACTGGTCATCATCGCATACTATAGTGCGAGGAATCTGATTTTACGTTTTCTCTAGGTCAGCGAAGCACATGTAGGCCGGATGAGGGAACTGTCACGATTATTCAACATTTTCGTGTAAGGCGAAAATATGTTCCGAGGTCTTTTGGTCTTGAAGTTTTACTGCTCATCTCGCATCTTAAAATCAGTTATTTTGCATTTCATCTTTATCAACATCTTAGTGTAGTCTTTTCCCCAGAAGACTCAATAAGATTTCCTTGATAATTAGATCACTCCGCATGGTCCCCGTTTTTGAAAAGGAGTGTTACAACCCCCATTCTTCAGTCCACTGGTATTTTCTTCACGCTTATTACAGTTTTACAGACATGTATTAGCCACAACATGTCTTGTTAGTGTAAAAATTTAAGAATTTCAAGGCTAATTTCATTGATAACAGGAGCTCGCCACTTTGTGACTTTTTCTACTGAAAGACTGATTTTGGCTGCTACTGTTGAGGTTCATGTTACTACGATTTCTCGGGGTTAAGAAGTACGTGATGGTGCTTTCTTCATTGCAGAAGAATATTCTCTTCGTGGGTAGGAAGATCTGGTTTGTATTTCAGGACTCTAAGAACGTCCTTCTCTTCATCTTAGAGGAGTTGGAAGTACTGTCAAAGTACCTTGTTCGCCGTCCGGAATTTCTGTTGCTCACAACCATTTTATTTCATTTAGCTTAGCAACACTTTTAGTTACCACTATTTATATTAAATGAGAGGCTTCATTTATTCAAGTATAGAAAGTAATCTTTAATTAGGATGGTACATATCTTATTACTCAAGTCTAAATACCGATAAAAATTATTACCTGAAAATCTAGATATAGTTTTCTACTTACTGACGGTTCTGAGGTAATTATGCTGCATGAAAAAACAGTCCTGGAATTGGTTGTTTTCCTTACGCAATTAATTTATACGAAATTGTTTGTTAAGGTAGATTCAATTGTTGAAGAGTTAAAACTTCTGGCAGTGTTAGCTGCTGTTGACTTTTGGTAAGCATCGATTCTGGCCTACAGCCTAAAGAACGTCGAATGCACAGTCGCTAATTACTTTGATCGGCATTGAAGAAATATACAGAAAATCTCGGCGTTATTCAGCATTTTTTCTTAACACCTAATTGTCGTAGTCGTTACGCAGTTTATTGATGGGTTGAATACATTCTCGAGTGCGTATCTCTTGCTTGCAGCAACGTGGAATGTTGAAGTCTCTAAATATCGAAATGTCAATCATCGGCGGTGAATGAAGAAGGTTAATCATCAGTCAGGAAAGCTTACTAAATTAGTAAATATTTCAGCAGTATGAGACCACTGGTATCGTTATTAGCCTTTTTCTATTCATAGCTGGATGAAGGCCGCTTCTGGACTTTGTCATTAACTTCTGATTCCTGTCAATATTTTCATCTTGGTCTAGCCGCCTCCTTCAGCTCGTCTTCCCATCGATCCTACGGGCCGTTTAACCATTTTTAGAATTCAGTCTAATATTTCTCTCATCCAATGACGGACGGTCCTTCTTCTAACTTCTTCACTTGGGTAATGACAGACTCTTGTTTGTGTTCTTACCCATTCGTTCCTCTTCCTATTCCATACTACGTTGCTCAGACTAAAGTTAATGAATAATATTCATGCTCAGGACCTACGCTTCTCTCCCATCTGTTAGCAATGGGGGCACATATTGATCGAAAACTAAGTTTCTAGTACAAGGGTAGTTCCCAGATGAAAAATTTTCGGTCCTCGAAAAGAGCTCCATGGCGCTTGTATTCTGTTGATTTCACAAAGTCGGTTTTACATTGTAGAGAAATGTGATTACAGAGAGACAGTTTTGCTCTTTCTCAAACCGAAGACCGTTGATTTAAACGGTTCATAAAGTCCCATATTTGTTAAACATAACCTGAATCATGTTTATGTTTTCCGTTCTGTCGTGATGCCGATGTCGTTCAGAACTTCTTTGGAATTTTCAGTGACCTTGAGAGCATCAGAATGTCGTACACCAACCGGGAGTGTCTCAAATAACGACATTTTTCCGAGGGTGTCTTGAGACCCCATCAAAGGCTGCTCTGAATTACTTTGGCGATATTGCTTCACCAGATCGAATGTTTATTTTTCGATTTTGAACTAACTTGTGGTTTTTTGAGGCTTCACGCAGACTGTTGCATTTTTGCAAGTGGGTGTTTGTGTCGTTTCTCGAATGCGTGACTCATCAATTAATCAAGTGCTTATTGGATATAGACTAAATCGAAAACCCTAAATCGACCAACCCCAGGCTGATATTCGTTGCCTGTCTGAATTAACTTTATCGTCTGAATATGCTTCATCACATTAAATCCACTTCTGAATCCCGCTTGCCCCTTTGGTTGTGCAGCGTCTAGTTTTTCTTTGAAACTTATTCGTCCGTACATTTGTGAAGACCTTGCGAATAATTGGCAACAAACCTTTCAGCATGTAGAATTTCAAATTCTGACCGTCATTGAGGCCAGAATCATGGAAAAGATACTTCAATATTTTGGAAGAGTACGTTGCTACGGTAAAATAAAGTCGTCATTAAATGTGGGCACATCGAATCTAAGGTTCGTACACCTAGTTTGTCACAGGATAGACTATTATAACATTTTGTTAAATATCCCGCATTTCTTCTTTAGAGTAAAGTAGCAGGTTATCAGTAACAGCAACCTATGTCAGCAAAGAGCGCTGTAAATCAGCTTCATTGAATAAACATTACCAATGGACAAGCTTTAAGTTTAGATCTTATTAGTGAGTCTCGATTGTATAAAGCCGTAATCTCGTTTCTCATCTCAAACATAAAGTGAGGGGATCAAAGTTCTGTTTCGATTTCCACTTCAAATTCATAAAATATGCTGGATGCCATTGCGAAAGACAGGCAGTAGGTGTAGAGGTATTATATAGAGCCAGTCTGCAAAACCGTACAGGAAAAATTTCACTATTTATTTATTCTCTATTTATTCGTTCACATTTATTCATTCTATATATTTATTAAGGTTAGCTATTTGTCGGCTTCTTCGAACAGTGAATCAGATAGCACAAATTCTAGACAGCTATCGATTGTTGTCATCTGTAGCAGCCGGAATATATCGAGCTGCAAGATGAGCTTCCGTTTCACTCTGCTACTTTAATGACTTGTTGAAACTAAATGTGGCGAAGTCCGTGTTAAATTCATATCCGTGACCGCAGTACTGGTCCAAAACGTCGGTAATGGCCTGCTGTCCATAAACCAATTGATTGTAATAAGATTTATTAATGACTGAGAAGTCATAGCTGCGTTGGTTTTGGAACGTCATGCAAATGACAACAGAAAGGACGAAACTTGTTCAACCAGCCGACCGAAGAACCTACGGACGGCCAAGAATACCCTGAGAATGTATCTTGAATGACTCCGCTCTAGACTCAGCATACCTTCTGCCGAAACTCAAACAGATCAGAAACGTTACTGTCTGATTCCGCGACCTGAAAGGAGAAGCGGCCACTGAATCTGAGTAACTGACATAACGCTAATTATCAGTATGACTGAATACAATAACAAAATACTTCACGTTCCATTCCAGATGTACTAAATTGCCCTGTTCAAAAATCTAGCCATCCAGCACGTCATTATTACTTTAAGTATGTAAAGGTTAAACGAAACATTGCATCACTAGTAATGTACAACCGAATCAAACTGTATCTTCAACGCTTTAGTTAAAAAAGGCCACGGAGCTGCTGCATGCAAAGAAATGTCCCGAATCCAGGACAGTATAGAAGCTAATTGCAAAGAAGACGAATGGATGAATGAAAAGTGAAGTATGAGTCACCGCCATCGATTTTTATTCAATTACTCCCCTCTGTACTTGCAGTTCGCTTCGATTTTTCCTCAAAAGGGGCTCGGTCAACCTACAACGCTACAAAACAGCGCTAGCAACGAAGTAACTGCGAAAAAAGAGACGGCGTTTTCGAACAGAAGAGCATTTATTATTTTGAAACTGTTCAAAGCTACTCTCCAAGCGATGATGAGTCTAGCCGCAAGTAGGCCAGAGAAGTTTAAGCTAACAGAACGCGATAAAAGTCACATGTAGACGAAATGCTCCAACCGAAGTAAAATCTGCAATAAAACGCAATAATGACACAAGTTATAAAACGCAGTGAAACTTAAGTAAGACATTATTCATAGTCTTCTATTTCTTCACCCCCAACGTCACCTTCTCCTTCGGATGTACCTGAAAACATGGTTGAAAATGATGAAACAATTTTACAACCCACTTGGCGCAAGTTCTTACCTTCGATGTTGAGGGTGAGTTCAACGTTCGCCTCGCCAGCCTCGTTTTTGATGTTACATAGGTACGTTCCACTGTCTTTCTTCTGGTAATTCTAGAAAATCAGAGAACACATCAATAGAGCTGCATACCGATCATCAGATCATTACTGAAACACCTACCTTAAGTTGGAGCTGTGCTTGAAACGTGTTCTCGCCTTCGTCGGGTTCGAAAACAAACTTAATTCGTTTTCCTTCCTTCATTTTCTTGCCCCTTGGATTCAACCATGTAACGTTGGGCGGGAAGTCCGCCTTGAAGCCTATGTCGAATAAGATCGCACTGTCGCCGTTCTCCAGTGTCTCCTGGAGAATCTGTGGTTTACGAGTGAACGTCGGAGCTCCTGGCGGCACTAAACAAACACACATGACGAAACATCATTTTAAGTTTATGTCATGAAAAGGCGAATAGTCTTAAAAGGTGTAATCGGCTTATGAGTCATCTGCTAAAGAATCAGCGCAATGAAAAGAAAAATTACGGCGCTAACGCACACTGTGTCAAGAGTTTCAGTTTATTAGTCACAGAAGCAAATCATGACTCCGCGACCCAAAAGGCGAAGCGGTCATGGGAGATGAAACAAACCATTAGGTAAATTATACCCAATTTTTTGCTGCATCCGTGACCTAATGGGATCGACCATACGTTTCAAATATTTCACCTAAACAGGAATTAGACTCAGCTATCTCAGTTACGCTCGACATATTAAGCACGTGCCACAAGTCGTAGTTAAGAAGCAGACTCTTTCTAAAAATTGAAATTTTTCATAAGTAATTATTTGTAGTTCTTCTTTTTACAGTGTTCCCCTTAACAGGAGTTTGCTATTTGAGTCAAATAATTCCAAAAGTTTTGGTCATTGGTCAAAACTAAACTTTTGTCTTTCCTTTTCTCTTTCATGGCAGTACCAGTGCT